ACCTTTCTGATTATTTTCTTAGAAAAAAATTTCTAAAAACAAAATTTCTGGGCAAAGCAATATGCATATTTTAAGAGCTTTTAAATATGTTGCCAAATTGACCATCTAAAAGGTTGTATCTTTACACTCCTCTAAGCAATGTTTTCACAGTAATTTGAGTTTTATCGCTTTTTTAAACCTTGCCATTTTGAGAGCTCAAAACTTGTGTCTCAGTGCTAAAAGATGAATTTATATCATTTCTAGTGGACAAGTATTTATATATTTTTACTTTATATGAATTTTTGTTATTACTCCTTCAGGCCCTTTGCCTATTTTTAAATTATTTATCCATTTTATGTTAATTAGGATAATCTTTTTATGTATTAAAAGATAAGTAGAAAATATTGCCCCCAGTTTTTCAATTTCAACTTAACTCCATTAATGGTGTTTTTCTTTAGATTCTAGTTCAGTTTGTTTATATCTCTTAAATCTGCCAATAATCTCCTTTTCCTAGCATACTTTAACTTGCCTAAGATTTGTAGCCTTTATGCCTACCAAAAATTGACTTTAATCCTTTATTAGCCTAGTGTTTGTAATAGGTTGTATTTCATGTCTGAAAAGATGAATTGATTATTCAATAAATGGTGATCAAACAGCTGAATATCTAAAAGGATATAAAACTTGTATTCTTACTACAAACCTTACATATACACACAAGCAAGCACAAATTCCAAGTGAGTTCAAGGTCTAAAGATAAAAATTAATAATAAATTAGAAAAACAAATAAATAGAAAGAAAGTCTCCCAATCTCAGCAAAAAAAAAAAATCTCGTATCCAAGTCTAGCAGAGAAGCAGGGGAGAGTAAGGACTTGAATAATGGTATATGAATCCTATCCACCTGGACTATAGAGCCCAAGGGACTGGCCAAATATATCACTCTGCATAAGCGAATCTTCTCACACCCATGAAAGTTTAGAAGAACCCCAATGATGACTGACCTTAGTTTCTCATCCCTGACAAGGTGTTGTGAGAGATGCATATAATTGCATTTAAAGAATATGAGGTAATGTGGCAATTCTTATATACCTGATCAGGGTCACAGATTCATATCTGATAGATTAGACAGAAAGACAGAGCTCGACAAGCAAGAGATCAAAATCCAGATTATATATATATTTTTTTAATTTCTATAAAATAATAAAAATAGAGTAAAAATGAAATGCATAAAAAGGTACAGACAAAATATACAAATGGTGAATATACATATGAAAAGATCTCAAACTCATTAGTAGTCAGAGAAATACAAATTCAAACAACTGTTAGACATTATTTTTTCATCTATAAAATTGGTAAAATCAATACCATTGATAATATCTGATTCTCAGAAAACCAGTAGAATCTCTCATGTGCGTGTAAATTGGCATAGCCTTTTTTTGGAAGGCAGTTTGACAGTACCTACTCATGTTTTAAATGTACAAACTCTTGACTCAGAAATCCACAGATGTCTTTCCTAGAACCTCCAAACAAAGGTGGTACAAGAAAATTTTTTCATCATTATTTTTTGAATTTTTATTTTTATAAGAAAAGTTTCCCTTACTATCTTGGTACATTATTCTTGAACACATGTAAGCACGTGTTCAACAGAATTGAATTTGCTCAATCAAAGGGTATACACATTTAAATTTTTATATCAATGGACTAAATGCCTACCAAAATGGTCTTACTAATGCTTTCTCCCACCAACAGAGTTTTAAAGTGCTTTATTTCCTGTTCTTGTGCCAGTATCAGCTATTGACATCTATTAACAAACAATGAGTAAAATGATTTGTAGTTAAACAATTTGCATTTCTCTAGTTAACAGAGAGGTTTTCCATCTTTGTGTTGTTAAACTTGTAAACCTGTTCTCTAATATTTTCTGAGTTTTAGAAATTTTTCCTACTGCTACTTTATCTTTTTATAAATTGAGGTAAAATATGTATAACATAAAATTTATTATCTTAACCACTTTTAAGTGTTCAGTTCAGTAATATTAAAGGACACTCACATTGTTGTGCATCTTGTCTTCAAAACTCCCTCTTGCAAAACAGAAACTCTATACCCAATAAGTAACTCATCATTTCCCTTTTCTCCAGCCCCTAGCAACCATCACTCTTTCTCTCTCTATGAATTTGACTATTCTAGGTACATCATATAAGTGAAATCCTACAGTATTTGTCTTTTTGTAACTGGCTTATTTCAATGCAATTTATTTTTAATATCAATAAACTGAAAGTAACCTACTAAAAAAAACAGAATAATTAAACTATTATATAGACATACTTTGAATGACATGCAATTATTTGTTTGTTCTATAAGAGAGACGTAGATGTACTGGCCAGGCAAGTGATAAAGATCACTATCTTGGGTGCTAGTAGTAAAAACTGGCCAGACTGTGGATATATTTTAAAGTTATTGCCAATAGTATTCACATTTGGATTGGATATGGGAGTTGAGAGAGAGAAGACACTAGTGTTTCTGGCCATGGAAAGAGAAGGCTGGAGATAGCATTTCCTAAGATTGGGAAAATAGCTGGTGGAACAGGTTAGGATGTACAGGAATCAACAATTGACTTCCAGCCACTTTAAGATATATAGTTGACATCTATAGTTGTATATGCTGCAAATGGTAGAATCGTTTAAAAGCATTTATTTTAACTCGCTGTTTCATGCTTTGAGGTTAGACCAATACATTTTTTTAAAGGATTCAGTAATTTTAACTGGCCAGCTTTAAAATATTTTGGATTTTTTTTTACTACAAAAAAAAAAAAAAATGAATGCCATATGTGAATACAATTTTTAGCCAAATTTGCATTTTAATATGGTGGCCTATTATACAATGCTACCATTTGTGTCAAATGAGTCAATTATAGTTTAATAAGACTTAGATACAGTAAAATGATTTATAATGTAAAACAGAATTAGCACATTTGGTGATTATCAAAACTGCAAGCTAAATAAAATGAGAAACTCCATCTGTTACTATCTACCTTTCACCTCTACATGAAGAAAATATAAAAAGGAAGAGTTATAGGAGCTTCTCCAAGTGGTTGCATAGCACAAAAGTTCTCATTTGGCAGGGACTGTGTGTTATTTATTTCTGTATCACCCACAGTGGCTTGTGTGTAGTAGGCATCCAATTAATTTGTGGCATTTAATCGAAGTCTATTGGACAGTAAAGAAAAATGTCACGATCATTATTCGATACGTTTGCCCAAGCATTTATTATGAAATGTTAAAAAACAAAAACAAAAAACAGCTTAACTTCTGGCAGCTTCAATTATCTACAACACAGTAACTGAGAAAATAAGTGAAAAAAGAATAACTCCCATAAAAACGCTTGTACTTTACTATTTAAGAGAAGAGCTTAGAATTATAGGCAAATTAAAATTCATTGGTTTAATAACTTAAGTGAGTAAATTCACACATACACACTGAAATACACTCAAAAATTAGAACTACAAATGAAGGAAAGCAGGATACCAATTACAAAGTAAATAATATATTAATTGCTAGTAGCATTTTTCTCTTAAAGCAAATTATAACTGATGTGCATGATGATTATGAAAATATTCAATTCTACAAATATGTCAAAGATAACACATAATCAGATGCTACAGGGAGTCAAAAGTGAATAAGATATAGGCTCAGTTGCCAAAACCTAAAAGTCCAAAGGTGAAGATATGTAAAGTATATCAACTATAAGCAGAGGCAGACTATGAAGTTTACAAAGTCAGGAATGCAAAAGAATGACAAATAAGAAAGATTGATTCGTGGAGGAGCCCAATGTCTTTCCAGGTAAAGGAAATATCAGGAACCTTTACAAGGTTAGCTGAAGCATAGGAATAAGTAGAGATTGATGAGAAACATAAGTAGAAAGGTGGGTTGGAGCCATATTATGGAAGGCACACATGCTAAGATCAAGATTTTTTTTAATTGGTAAGGGTGGATATTTGAAGATCATAGAAGAATTCTGAGCAGGGAAACAATAAAATAGAAATTTTGGTCTTGAGAAGATTAACCTAACAATATGATATAGACTTTGCTATTCAAAGTGTGGTAACCACACCAGCAACATCAGCATCTATTATCAGCTTTTTAGAAATACAGACTCTCAGGACCTACAGAATCAGAATTTGCATGTTGACAAGATCCCAGGTAACTTGTAGCATATTAAAGTGTGAGAAGAACTGGTTTAGAATAGCCCCAAGGGGAAAGACTCTGGAAATGGAAAGCCAATTACGAGTTCATTACAACAATATAATCACTACTTCCATGCCTCACTTATGTACTGATATCCCTTAGGTGAAAATGAGATGCATCTTAATTCAGGCAGTCACTGTTGTGGGAGCATGATATTTACTGGCCTTTAACCCTTCCCTCACAAAGCCCTAGACTGAATCTCTAGTTCCACTCAGTGCCATCATTTCCTTTTTCTCTGTATGCTCACATCTCAGCTTTCCCTGAACCAAATTTGTGAAGGTTCTCTGCCCTATAATTTATGACGTAACCAAATTCTCTATCTACAGGTAGTGAAATGGGTCTAGGGGACTCTGAAAGTAGTTAAAGTCATCACCTAAATCACTACAATCAACCTGAATCCCAGATATCTCAAGAAGTTGCCATCCTGAACAAGCCTGATGTCTGATCTTGGAAGCTAAACAGGGTCAGGCCTGGTTAATACTTGGATGGGAGACCACCTAGGAAGATCAGGCACTGTAGGCATAAATAATAGTAAAAAGAAAAAAAAAACCAAGTCAATCTATCTTCTTAGGGATTTTATTCTGATGCATTTTGCACTATTTTTCTCATTAAATAGAACATTTTTACAGAAGAAAGTACTTCCACACCAAGTAAGTACTCACTGTGCCTATCTCCCACCACAAATGTAACACCTTTCCCACTCACTGTTCCTTACCTTTGCACATGCTATTCCCTCGGCCAGGTAAACCCTCCCACCGATCCCACTGCTCCCACCTAACAAACCTTTATTCAGCCTTCATTATCTTTCAGGTGAGCTCCAAACCATGCCCCACACACAGTTAGCTGAGCCTTCCTTCTTCCGTGTTCCAGACCCGGTCAAGGAGGACCAAGCTTTCCCTCCAGAAGATGGTCTGCAAAAGAGTTAAGCTGTGTACTTTCGAATGTACTCTATAACATTAAATATAACTAGAGGTGCACATGAGTGGAAAGAGAAAAAAAGAAGAAGAACAAAAGAAAATCCTAACGTTGAGTGGTGAACACACAATGCAATATATATATGACGTACTGTTGAATTGCACACTTGAAACTTATTTGATTTTATTAATCGATGTAACCCCAGATAATTCTTAATTTTAAAAAATTAGCTTTCAATATATTAGCAATTTTTTCAATATTAATATCTGACCATTTTCTCATTTGAAAATGAGGCTATTTGATGAGCTATTCTTTAGTACTCTATGATTATGATTTAGTACTCTATGGTCCAAAACATTAATCATAATGGCTGGAATTTACTAAATTTCTAATATCTTCTAGCTCATTTCTTTTATATCTTATTAAAAAAACAAAAATGCTTCATTTTCAAGAGGTGTTCGCTATCTGCACTTTTAAAATAATTTCATATTCTATTGCATTTCAGGCAGCTGCTTAAATTGCAACATAAATTTCACCAGAGAATGCAAAGTTATTAGCTGAAATAGTTTCATTTCAAACCAACATCTTATTGGATTGGAATATTAGGCACAGAGCTTTAAAAAAAAATGTATGCTTCAAAATGAACTCATTGCTAGAGGTATTAAATAAATAGATTTTCCAGTGTGAACTCCCAATTATTTTAACTCCAAGTTGTTATGTTAAAAATAAACTGTCTTTCTAGAACGAATTTCTGAAATATTTATGTTCAGCAAAAATTATGCTTCTAGTATAGCTGAGATGACCTGTATTATTGTCATGGCTGAAAGGCTGAAAAGAAAAAGGATTTTTACATCATCTGAAATTATCTTTCCTCAAATTACTTGCTAATTGAAAGGGAAAAATTGTATTTATGCATCTTAACTAAGACATCAAAGCTAATATATCCAATATTGAGACAAAGGACATATGTGCCTCGTTATGGAATGCACCACTTCAGTGGTTTCCTGCCAAAAATATGTCACCTCTATCTACATCTGAGGAAATTTCAGACAAATTTAAATTGAGGTACATTCTACAAAACAATTATCTATATTCCTTTAAAATGTCATCCAAAAAATGAGACATTCAGGACATTTTCTAGATTAACCAAGACTAAAGAGATATCACAGGTTGGATCCTGGACCTGGAAGAGTAAGAGGAAGGGTTAGGGACATAACTGTAACAGATATCATTGAGACAATTAGTTAAACTTGAAAAAGAATAGAAAAAAAACGAATTTATATATGCCATGAATAACGTGACAGCTGCATTCTGAAAAATGGTGTTCACTACTAGACTGACCACAACCCGCAGCAGGGGCTTCAGGGAGCAGTTCAGAAGGGGCATCTCGAAAGTGCATCCTCTCAAATGCACTAAATACAAAGAGCTTTCTGGCTAGGAAAATGCAATTTCGAGCCCATGCCAAATAAAAGTATGATCTAAGTAAAATACATGCACTCACACACAGAAAGCTTGGAGAAGAGAGAACAAAATATACATACTGTGCAAAATTAATTTTATCTTTCTCTAGACCTCTATTCCCCCATTGGTAGAAAAAATTATTTACAATTTAAACTAAAGCCGAATTAAAGTCCAACTCAATCTCTTGACTAACACTCAAAGATTCTCCAGATTTCTAACCTCTCTCCATCTTCCTTTCTAAGGTGGCACCTGAGTGCAGGTGAGGCTTTTATGTGTTCATGCAGTTAGAGGGAGCCCATGATTCACAGGCAGCCCTCACAGTAAAGCTGGTCTAGCCTGACCCCTGGTTGTGCGGGCTGGTGCTTGCTGAGGTATAGCTAGCTGGCTCCATTGATCCTTCCAAGTCCTCACCACTAGAACTTATTCCACCCAAGCTGAGGCCTGTCTGAACTCTTGGTTCTCTCAGCATCTCTGTTGTGTGAAAAATGAGGGTGTTAGGGTTTTTTTTGACTACTGAGTGTCAAAAACTAGGCTCTACTACAATATCTGGGGGCTGTCCAGAGGACTTAATTGGACTGGCCCATGTAGGTATCAGCTGAACGTACCACTGGGCATGTTAGGATGTACAGTGAGCTATGAGCCAGGGCTAGAACTTATATGGCAGAAAATAGCTGAGAGATCAGAGATACAAAAGTCAGTAGGTACAGAAGAACCACAGCCACTGGAGGCCTCTATTTTTGTTCATACGGTTCTGTGTGCAGACTAGGGTTGAAACATAGGCTAGGCATGGAGGCCTGCCTTTCTGTTACCTTGTCCATAATTTTTCAATACGGAATTCTGGTGCTTTTTGCTGACCTACCTTGTATGTCTTCTAAATTGGTTTTGTCCTCTTCCAGTTAATCTGTTTGAGAAAAGAGGAATAAAATATGAAAAGGATAGATAGACCTATCCATCTAGTCTGTGACTTAAAACAGCATAAATGGCCACAAAAAAAACTTCTCCAATTATTCCAGAAACCATGATCCAGTGCTAAAGGGTTTTAAGAGTCGATTAATGGATTTATTAGTAAGTGTTTTAAATTTGTCTGGCTACTCCACTACTTACCTGTGATTTTACAAGTTAGCGTTCTCTATCTCTCTTTCTCTCTCTCTCTCTCTCTCTCTCTCTCTCTCTCTCTGTCTCTCTCTTTTTTCTCTCCCAATCACATATAAACACACATACACACACACAAACTTAACATATGATAAAGATAGAATAAATTGCTTTATAGCAAATTTTGGGAAAAGGGTCACAATGAAGGGAAAAAAGGCTGGATCACCACCTGACATCAGATATGTGTGGCTACCAGATGAATGAAAGACTTAATGTGAAAGGAAAAAACATATAGTTAATGGAGAGTGGGGGGAGGGGAGTAGAATGTCTTTGTGATCAAGTGGCAACACAGACCATGAGAGAAGAATACTATTCAACCATTATGGCATAGACAGATCTAACAGACAATGACAGAAAGGAAGGCAGTAACTGCAATTTTTAACACCAATAAAAGATTAATCACTAGAATATGAAAAAAACTACTGCAAATCAATTGAAAAAAAACCAGTAACTTTCAATAGAAAATGGGAAAGGACATGGACAGGCAATTTAGAGAAGAAAAAATAACAAATATAACAAAATTAATTAGTATTCAGGGAAATGCAAATGAAAATAATAGTGAAATGCACTAAATTAATTGGAAAAAGAAGAATGCTAGACCATGCTGAACATTGGCAGAGGTATGGCTACACGTTCTGATGGTGGAAGTAGAAAGCAGCAGCCATTCTAGAAATCAACCTTTCGGTCTTCACTTAAATTAGTGTATGCATAGTATATGGCCCAGCAACTTCGCCTCTGGTTCTATGTACTAAAGAAATTCTATAAAAGGACACATAAAAGGCTGCTCATTGAGCATTAGCTGATGGTGGGAGATGTTGAGGGCAACCTGGGAGAATGGATGGGCAAAAGATGGTGGATGCATGCGATGGAGTCCCATGACGAAACTAGGACCAAAGGACTCTGACATTCAGAAATACACATTGATTTTGAAAGTAAGGTACTGACGCAAAACTTAAAACACTGAGTGAGATACAGAATACAAAACTATTTTTATAAATTAAAAATACATGTATGCAAACCAACAAAACACAACTTGCTAGAACATAGATAAACAGCTACACTTTAGAATGGTTCCTGTAGGGTGAGGAGGGGAATGGAGTTGGGAATGGGGATAAAAGAGAATGAATGAGTGCTTAAATGAGCAAATATATGAGGAAGTGGCCATGCAAAGATGATGTGACTTGAACCGAGCGATGAGATTAACTTAACCCTATGCACTCAGATCTAAACTAATATAATAATCAAGGAAGTCCTCAACCTGTCACTGTGAGCTTTCAGTTATTCTCTAAACTTTGCATCACATTTCCCATCCTCAGTTACTTTGCCTTCATCCAGCAGCTACTTCTTCTCCACATTTCACTCTCTCCCCATCCTTCTCCAGCATTCTTTCTAACCCTGATTTCATCTCCCTCTTCTTTCTTTTCTTCCTGTTCTTCATTATTTTATCTTCTTCCTTAATCTCTCTCTTTCTTTTCATTTCCAAAGTTGCCTTGTTTTCTCTCAGAATGGCTTTTATCATGTATATAATGCAGATTTTACAATAATAATAATAATAATAATAATAATAATAATAATAGCAGCTAGCATTTATTGACTGCTTTCTACATGCCAAGCACCATTCAAAGCTCTTTACATACACTGCTCTTTACGCCAACTCAGGTTACTTCAACTTAGGCTTAGTGGGCCAGGAGGAAAGTAAAGCATAGAAAGGTTAAATAGCTTGCCCAAGGTCACACAGCTAGAAAGGAGCAAAAAATTAATTCAAACTCCAGGTTATCTGGTGTCAGAGTCCACACTGCTAAACACTATGCTACACTGTCTGCTATAATCTTCAGAAATACTCTTAGAAGCATATCTTATAGAACTATGTGAGAATCCTACTAAGTGTTTATTGTAGCATTGTTTAAAATAGAAAAAAAAACGGATCTTAATCTAAAATATTGGGTATGGCGTGATTTATTTTGTATAATTTCCTTTTTAAAAAGAAGTGAGTGTGTGTACATGCACATGCATGCAAAACTGTGAGTATGTATATCTGAAAAAATATTTTTGGAGAAATTATACTTAGGAATATATTCATAGTAGTTAAAGCTGGGAAAAGGGTCTAGGGCAGAAAGAAAGAAAATTTTACTTTCATTTCATTTCTCTTTCGATTACTTAAATCTTCCAACTACACATGTATTACTTTGTTAACAGAATTGTGAGATCATAGGCCATTTTTGCTCTGTTCTTTATATTTTTGTACCAAAAAAAAAAAAAATGCTTACTATATTGAATGTCAACTCTCATTGAAAAATTAAAAAATTTTAAAAGCCTAATAAACATTATTTGAATAAATATATATACTATTACTTTAAATCCATCGATGGCATGAATCACTGATGTTTCCATAATTGATATTTTCACTTTACGTTTGACATTGTTAATGAAGCACACGTTGATATAGAATACAACTTCACGGAAAAAAATAAGTAGCTTCCCTTCATAAAATGCTTGCAGCCTTGGCTTAATGAAGTAGCAGGGTAAAGACGGCATATCTCCAATATGGCAGCATGTGGCCTTTCAAATTGATTTACATTAAAGCTGAAAAACACCCTTTCCTAATGATAATATCAAAGGGAGGATAAAAGGGGAGGGAGCTAGATTAAGAATTCTTTGCAAATCCATTTAATGGTATTGAATATTTTACTTGCCAAAGACTCTTCAAGAAAATTAGATATAAAGTATGAATGAATGTTAGTTACCAAATGACCTGGATGATACTCAAAGTCCAGGTAGTTGGATGGTCAACAGGATAACAGTCAGTGTTTCCCAAGTAGGAGTGTTACGAGCATTTATACTCAGACACAGCATCATTAAATGTGAATTCAGGTATTGGAGTAGCACAGACGTCTAACTGTTTACTGACCAGAAAGAGACCCAGAGAAACGCACTGCTACCTTACTATTATTAAATATTTTTCATGGCACCAATAAAACACCGTTTTCCTCTAAGAAATTTGAAAGGTGTTCCTCTGTTGTTAACTAAGCTTTTTCCCTTCTAGAGGATTTTATAGTCTTGAACAAATTTTAAATTAATATAATGTACCCTTTTTTTGATGAAGTTTGGAAAAGACTGACTTGAAGCAAGTAAGAATTGTTTTAAATAACTTCGACCATTTAGAAGTTGTCCTAGAAGAAAAACTTTGTTTTCAATAGCAACAAAAAAAGATAAAAATAACATGCAATATATATTAAGGAGAAGACTACTCCTAAAAATACCAAAAATTAACTGAAAATTTGAAAAATTAACAGTAGTAATGATGGTAATTCACCACCACCCCTTCAAGTTAATTTATAAATCCAAGGCAAGCTCTAACAACAACAACCAACCACATCTTTGGAATCTGATTAGGAAAATCTATCAAATTTTAAAAGCACATATAAATCTTACTTCTAGGAATTTATCCTATAAATCTACTAGCCCCACGATCCATGTAAAAGGTCATTCACTGTAGCTTTGTTTGTAAAAGCAAAAGATTGCAAACAACCTAAGTGATCATCAATAGACCAGTTAAATAAATTATTGTGTATTTACCCACTGAAATACTAAGCACCTGATTAAAAACAAAATATTACAAACTATGACATGGTATCTTATCAGTTATAATTTTCATTTTAAACAGAGCTATCTTTCAGACTTATTTATAGAATTATATTATCTATCAGTCTTATACATACAATAAAAGGAAAATGTAAGTGAAATTAGTTGGTTAAGGGATTCCTAAAACAACCTCATCTTCAGAGTCCAACTTCTCTGAATCACTTTTAGAGTGACAGTTAGACACAGGAGGGTGCCTAGCTTATTTTAGGATTATATAAAGAGACTTATTCTAAGCTTTGATACTCAGATTGAATCCTACATGCTCCTAACTTTGAAGCAAATAAACTCAGTGGAAAAGGCATTCAAAATCTGGTCAGAGGATCCATATTTTGCCAGGGAATACCATCCTCTGCGCACCACTATTCTCTCCAAGGTCATCTTCAAAAATGTTGCCACATATTTGTTTTGATGCCAGAACCTTTTTAATTTTTATTGGAAGAGGAACTGGAAGGCTTTCAGACACAGACTGGGACTCATATTTTTCTCAAAGTGTATTTCAATGGTCTGTTGCCTGTAACTCCCGGGAGTTGCAGCTGCCTATCTTGTGCACGCACAAACAGTACTGACTGCACCATGAATGCTGCTTCTTGGTGGTGGTCAGAAGATGTCACTGAATGTAAACGTCACCTTAATTTAAGGTGCTAAAATGGGGGGCGGGGAGGGATGTGTCTAGTTATTATTGAAATATATTGTTTAGTGAAAAGAGCAAAGTACAGTATAATGTGTAACACACGCCACCATTTGTGTAAAAATGGGGATAAAGAATAATATATATAATTGTAGAAGCATGAAATAGCTCTAAAAGACACACACACACATACAACTGTTGTCTGGGGGATGAATACTAGGCAGCTGGAGATGGGATAGGAGGGAGAACTTCACTATACAGACGTTGTGTCTCTGGAATTTTAATCAATGGGAATATTTAATTCAAAAAATACAATTAAAAATTTATAGATTTGTTTTTGTTGTTATAAAAATAAATTGGAAATGAGATGTCACTTTATTCTTATTACAAAGCAACAGTTTTCAATGCTAGATAAAATATGTTTGCATAAGAAGTAGCTATATTCATCGCTTTATGCATACAGTTACTTCAAAAGCAAA